ACATTCTACATCATAAAAAAGACCAGACTTGCTGTCCTGATACAGACTGAGGACAGCATGGAGACTGTGGCCCTTAGATGCCCTTCATGCCTGGAAGGGAACCCACTGTGAGAGATCACCTTTCATCCAAACAGTATACAAGTCTATAAAGTGAAAATAATACCAGTGAAGAATGAGCTCCTCGAAAAATCAACCACACCTATCAAAGGGGGCAGCATTTGGTCCAATGCAAGTTCAGAATGTAAGAAGCAGCAGGAAAGATGGGCAAATGGCTACAGAGAATGTAGACTGGAAGTAGGGAGAGTGCTGTTTATTGAGGGGATTGCAACTAATGCCATTAAAGTCAGAACAAAATAAATTGTGCTGGAGGTATTGGCCCATGCAATTAGATAAGAGAATGCATTAAGATGCATAAAAATGGAAAAAGTACCTATTTTCAGGTGACAGGATTATCATCTGAAAAATCCAAAAGAATCAAAGAAACAAATGCTACAAACAGGAAAACTATTTTATAGAGGAACAGGATATAAAATGAACACATAGGAATACTTGAAAGATACAAATAAAGGGAAGGTGCCATTTATGACTGGGTGGATGGATAAGTACGTAGATAAATTCATATCAGTTTATCTAAAAACAACGACAAAAATCTGTGAAACCTGTATGAGGAAAATTATAAAACCATCTTGAAGGACATAAGAGTGTATTTAAATGGAAAAGACACATCATCACATCATGTTCCTGTTGAGTTGAAACATTAAATATAATAAAGATGTCAATTCTCCCCAAGTTAATTCATGTTTAACTTTATCCAAGTAAAATTTACCTTCAGATATTTTGGGGAGACTAGACAAGGTAAAAGGAGCTCTGGTAGCGTAGTGGTTACGAATCGGGCTGCGAACCTTAAGGTCAGCGGTTCGAAACTACCAGCTGCTCCGCGGGAGAAAGATGAGGCTTTCTACTCCCGTAAGGATTTACACCCTCGGAAACCCTGTACAGGGTCGCTATGGGTCGGAACCGACTCGACGGCACTTAACAACAACAACAACAAGACAAGGTAAAGAGTCCTGGTGTGGCGCTGTGGGTTAATGCACCAGACTGTAAAGCCATATGAACTGCAAGGTCAGTGGTTCAACAGCTGCTCCTCGGAAACCCTATACAGGGTCGCTGTGAGTCAGAACCGGCTCAATAGCACTTAACAACAACAAGACAAGGTAAATATAAAATTCATATGGGAAAAATAAGTAAGAATTGGAAAAAATGGAAGGGGGCAATAAAGGATGACCTGCCACATCACACTTTACAATGTATAATGGTGGTGGTATGCTGTTGAGTCAATTCAAACTCACGGAGATCCCTGTATAGTGTTTCCAAGGCTATGGATCTTTATGGGAGCAGAAAACCATCATTCTCCCGTGGAGCAGCTGGAAGTTTAGAACTGTTGACTGTAGTTAGAAAAAAAAATTACATATGTAGAAATATCCTCTGCCAAATCTCCTTATTATGTATGAAAGTAGATATTGTTAGACAGCTTGATTGGGATGGATCCATTGAAGAATTTGTAAGAGTAAGAACTAGAAAGGAATGCTTTTAATTATAACATGTTAGAGATAAAATGGAATCCTGGTGTGGTGCTGCAGGACAGGTACTCAACCTCAAGGTTGGTTTGAACTGCAAAGTTGGTGGTTCAAACTCACCAGGTGCTCCTCAGAAACCAATACAGGGTCACTATGGGTCAGAACCAACTTGACGGCACTAAGCAACAATAACAACAAGAGGTAAAATATCCATCTAAAAATAAAATATAGTAATTTGTTGTAACATCTGTTTTCTGATCATTAAATTTTCTTTTATGACATCTTTTAATTTATTCATTTGTAATTATAACATCAAAACTGAAGTGTGAGCTATTTAAAGCAAAATTTGTGAGTCAGTTTTTCATTGTGGGAGTTCAACAGAATTTTACATTGATTGCTGAAACAACAAAGAACTGCATACATACTTACAGTCTCTATCACGTACACCAAGATGTTAAGTAGTGAGTACCTAAGAACACACCAACATATAATCATCCGTTAAATATATATACAATGACACTACAATGTCTTAAAGCCAACAGATATTTTCAGCTTACTTGAAGAAATGAGAAAGAGTGCTTCAAACAAGTGATGAAAATACAGAGACAGTAAATATAATACCAGAAATGGTATCAGAACTACTTGATAAGAAATTTAAAAGAATGATATTTAGGTACCTTCAATGGATTGAGAAGGAGCGCTGGTAGTGTAGTGGTTACGAATCGGGCTGCTAACCTGACGGTCAGCAGTTCGAAACTACCAATGGTTCCGCGGGAGAAAGATGAGACGTTCTGCTCCGGTAAAGATTTACAGCCTTGGAAACCCTGTTGTTAACTATGAGTTAACAACAACAATGGATTGAGAGAATGATTGAGAAAGCTGTAGTTGAAATCAAGGAAAACACAGACAAAATCTTAAAAGAATTCAGGAGATTACAGTTACAAACTGACAAAAATTAATGAGAAATCAGAAACCATAGAAATCCAGAAGATTAATACTAAAGTTTCAGAAATAGATAATACATCCAAAGAGCAAAGCAGAATTGAATCAATGAAAGGCCTTATCAGGGAACTTGAAGACAAACCTCTCTCAAGGGTTGTTGTTGTTGTTAAGTGTTGTTGAATTGGTTCCGACCCATAGCAATTTTGTATAGGGTTTCCAAGAAGTGGCTAGTGAGTTTGAACCACTAACCTTGTGGTTGAAAACAACCTTGCCGTCCAGTACTTATCCTACAGCACTACACTGTTATAATATGTATGACTAACAGCGCCCATTTAAACTAGGTATCCGCTACGTCCTTTCAGCCCTGTCTCACCCTGCCCTCCTTCCCACCTCCACCTCATCCTATGGAAAAATAATAAACTTCTTACAGAAAAACTGGGAAGGTCAGAACGACCCAAGGACACCTAAACAAACAGAATAAAAACTTAGCCCATCCATACAAACAAGATAAGGGTTTATTGGTGGGTTTACTCCCACTTACAGGATAAGGAGCTCTGGTAGCGTAGTGGCTGCGAACCTCAGGGTCAGCGGTTCGAAACTACCAGCTGTTCCGCGGGAGAAAGACAAGGCTTTCTGCTCCCGTAAAGATTTACAGCCTCAGAAACCCTGTAGAGGGTCGCTATGAGTAGGAACCGATTTACAGCCTCGGAAACTCTGTAGAGGGTCGCTGTGAGTCAAAACCGACTCCACGGCACATAACAACAGAATAAGGGTCTGCTGGAATTTTCAAACCCCAGGTAACAAGACAAGTCTGTCTGTTTAAACCACTCTGTGTTTTTGTATAAAACCCTGTTCCCCTGCTCACTTCCGGGTCAGAGTGATTTGGGCTTGAGCTGACACTCTGGCCACCGGTAATAAACTTTGCTCTTTAAAATTTTCAGGTTGAGTTCTTTCTGACTCGCTGCCGCAACACCACCAGGACTCCCCTCTCCCGGGTGAGGAACCTTATTCTGCCAAAATGTATACAATTCAAGGGCCATACAAAATTATCAATTTAAACATTAATTAACTCACTCCCAACTGATGGCTGAAACTACAGTTGCCTTGGCAGGGCCAGATTCCATGTTCTGATTATTAATGTGTGTGTTGTTTTTTTTGCAGCTCTTTCTCCTTATTTTGAGTTGTGCCGCATCAGCAAATGAAGGTCCTGGAAACCTTTACTCCATTCATGCCATTACGGTCAATTCTATGGACATTGCCATATTAAAGATGATAAAGCTTGATGTTCTCATTTAAGCTAAACAGCAAGAATTTTTAGACTCTTTAAAAACAAACGTTCTAAGTTGCCAATATTTTAAATGAATAATCTAATGAATAAAAAATACATATGCTACTATATGTGTTTCAATATAATTGATTCCTTTGAAATCCCATATATTTTGTTATTAAGTGTCCTCTAGTAGGTTTGACTCACAACGACCCTCTATAGGGTTTCCAGGCTTTTGAAACCTTTGCAGGGGCAAGCCTCATCATTCACATGTGGAGGGGCTGGTGGGCTCGAACTGCCGACCTTGTAGTTTACAAAACAGTGCTTATCCTACGGAGTGCCACTCATATATTTTGGGTATTTTAAGAATTGTTTTTGAAAAGGAGTCTATGGCGCTCTATAGGATAAGCACTGGACTGCTAACTGCAAGCTATTGCAGGGTTAGAGGTTCAAACCCACCAGCCGTTCCTTGGAAACCCTATAACAAGGTCGCTATGAGTCATAACTGACTCAATGGCACTAACAACAATACTTTTTATTATTATTATTATTAAGGAATCTATTTACAAAAAAATAATAAAAACAGAAATGGGTGAGAAGAGAATTCTGTACAAGTAGTGCCCCTCCATACCTCTGCACCTTCTCTCACTGATTTTTAGAATGGAGACTCTCCCGGCTTCATTCCCTCAAGGAAGGCTTGAATCTGTAATTAGACTCTGCCTTCTCTGTTCTTGGAACATCCTGTGCACACTTCTGCTGGTATCCTGAAGACAGTCGATTCCCATTCTCTCGGCCAAGCGCGTTTGTTAACTCAGGATCTGTTGGTGATTTGCCCTGACCTTCCCTAGCTTTAGAAAGTTAGTCGTTAGTAAAAGATGAGGTCTGACAAAAATAAGAATATTATTTCATCTTAAAATTAAAGTGTGGTGTTAAATATTAACACAAATTGTGTCAATGTCTTTTTTTAAATTGATACATTTTTCCAGTCTATATTAAAAAATATAATTTTTAAAATCTGGATATAAACTGTGAATCTAAAAGGAAAGAGCACACTGTAGTACACTTTTCGTCCAGGGAAGGCGCCCAATCCAAGGCGCCAAGAAATATCGGACCTTGTATTGCTGGTTTTCAATTCGGTCCGAGAATTGCTTATAAAAGAAATGAAGAGCAGTGGTTTTTCCGTAGATCTGCTGTCTTCCTGCAGTTGATTAGTCATGTCTGGTCGCGGGAAGGGCGGTAAAGGCTTGGGAAAAGGTGGCGCTAAGCGACATAGGAAAGTTTTAAGAGATAACATCCAGGGGATTACGAAGCCTGCTATTCGTCGTTTGGCGCGCCGCGGCGGCGTTAAACGCATCTCTGGTCTCATTTATGAGGAGACGCGCGGTGTTCTGAAAGTGTTCTTGGAGAATGTAATTCGGGACGCCGTTACTTACACAGAGCATGCCAAGCGCAAGACGGTTACTGCCATGGATGTAGTCTACGCCCTGAAGCGTCAGGGCCGCACACTCTACGGCTTTGGTGGCTGAACCGGCTTGCTGCCCACTTCGCAGAGAAGCCAGTTGAAAAGGCCCTTTTCAGGGCCACCAATTTATCGCTCTAAAGAGCTGTATTGCTTCTCGGGGAGTAGGTGCGTCCTATGAAGCTACTTGTTCCGTATATGTTGCTTTTAGTTAACAGAATCATGGCGTCTATTCTAAACCAGACCATTGTGGTCTAGTAATTCTTGTCTAGTGAATTTTGATTTGCGCCTGGGTGAACCTCTTGCAGTTGAGAAAAATGGCTTTTTAAAATCCTATTCTGGCTGTCTACTTTAGGCCGTGAAATAGGTTTTCACCAAAATGACTCTCAATCCTCACTTGCTTTCAGCCAGCTGCTGCTTTTGTCAGTTGGCTCTACTTACTGGGTCGGAGTGTTGCTGATGCTAATAATCAAAATCGGTTTGTGTTGGTGAATGCGATTTTTGTTTATTTTTGCAGTCGCAATAAACCTTGCAAAAGTCAGAATAAGGCCCCAGGCTCTGTTTACTCAGTGAAAGGAAAGGCAGGCGCCCTTTTAAATAAGCTACCTACCCATGGGGAGAATCCGGTTGGAAGACCCACTGTAGTTGCTATAAGCAACGTGGGTGCACGTTGGCAGCAGTGCTGCAGCTTCTAATGGCGGAGATACTGGCTAGGCAGCTCAGCCACTCAACCTGGAGGAACCTCAAAAGCTGCTGTTCTGCGTGACTTCAGGCACAGAAGACCAAGCGTGTGCCGCCACTGCTACGTCCCATGGGACGAGTAAAGCATAAAATTAAGCTGAACGTGAGCAACAAAAGTCAAGTCCAAAGATTTTTCAGAATTTACCATTTCAGATTTTAGAGTTCTTACAGAAAAAGTCTCTTTCCCTTAATAGTATGTTGATCTATAGATGTGAGAGGGAAGTATACAGTATTGAAATCCAACTATCTAAAATCTCAAGAAATTTGTCACAATGTAAATTACAATCAAGAGTAGTAGGGGTGGGGTCTCCAGGGTGTAAGACCGTCTAGCTATAGTTTGACTCTAGTGTACTTTTTGGTTTCAGTAACCAGGAACTCAAAGCACTTGGATTGCCAGAGAAGTCATAAATACGCTAGTGGGGGGGGAAAAAAAAAAAAGTCGGAGCTTTGAGTAGAGGGTCTTGGGGGCAGAGGCGAGTGCATTGCCACCGAAGAAGGAAAGCGCTTGACCACCTCCCTTATGTTTCTGCTCCCTGCAGGACAGCAGAGCTCTCTCCAAATCTGGCAGGACTGTGAAACGCCGAACTCAGCACGTGAACTCAGCACGTCTCAGTGCGAGGCTGAGTGGCTGTACCCTCCGCCCCGGCAGCCCTCCACCTCCCTGCTGGGCTCTCCAGGGGTGGAGAAGCAGCAGGGGAGGGCGAAGGACCAAGGCTTCCTGCCCTGACGACCCAGTGGTGACCCTAGGAAGGCTAAGAAGGACCCTTCTCACACACAGGAATCGGGCTGAGCCTGCCTTGGGAGGGGAGCCTCGGGTGTTTTCCCTATGAGAGAATTCAGTGCAGGAGAATGGCTCAGCGACCTGCCTCTGTATCCAGCATTGGCCTAACCTGGAGCCGCGGGGCTCGGAGGACCTGAAGGTGGAAAAGGACAGACACGGCCCCTCCAAGCAGCATTCTTAGTGCCTCCCTGGGCCTGAAAAAGCCGGTTGTCCTGTAGTCCATTCTGACTCGTGGCGCCCCCATGTGTGTCAGAGCAGAACTGCAACTCAGGTTTTCCCTGATTAGTACTTCAAGGTGCCTCTGGTTGGATTCAAATCTCCTCCACCTGTGTAAAGCAGCCAAACGAGTTAACCTGGAGATGCTAAATGTCTCCTGTCACCTGCGGAGGACATAGCTGTGCTGGGAGGTTAGGTGGGGATGGTAGACAATGCACGGACAACCTACCTTGGCTGAACAGAGTGCTGGAGAAGGGGTAGAGCCAAATGCCACATCTTGCCCCGTGGGCAGTTTCTTTCTTTCTTTCTTTCTTTTCTATTAAACACCCGCTTTGTTGAAAGAAAGAAAGAAAAAAAAAGTTACTATCCGGATACAGACCCAAAAGAGAACACCAGATATGTATTGAAAGACACTTAAGCAGGGTTAGCACTAACTTGAGAGATGTGAACAGAGATCTTAAATTCAAATACATAGGTTTCGTTTAACACACACACACACACACACACACACAAAAAAAAAAATTAGACTAGTGACCCAGGCTTGTGTTCTTTGGTCTTTCCAAGCAAAGGATTTGATTTCTTCAATTGCTAGTATGCAAAAGCGGGAGGTGAAGCTGACTAGTCTTGGGGGTAGCCTGCAGTGAGCATCTGCGATTGACTATCAACCCTTAGGAGCTCTGGTAGCGATGTGGTTACAACTCAGGCTGCTAACCTTAAGGTCAGCAGTTCGAAACTACCTGACGTTCTGCGGAAGAACGACCAGGCTTTCTGCTCACAGTGTCGGAAACCCTATACAAGGTTGCTATGACTCCACCGCAAACTACCGCCTCCACCACCAACAACAACCTTAGGAGAAGCCCTGGTGTGGCGCTGTGGATTAATACGCTGGACTGCAAAATCAGTTTGAACTGCAAGGTCGGCAGTTCAAGCTCACTAGCTACTTCTTGGAAACCCTATACAGAGTCGCTATGGGTCGGAATCGACTTGATGGCACACAACAACCCTTAGGAGCCCTTGTGGTGCAGTATTTAAGTGCTAGGTGGCTAGCCTTTAGGTTGGTGGTTGCAATACACCAGCCCTCTGAGAAAGATGCAACCTTGGAAACCCTATGGAACAATTATACTGTCCTCTAGCGTAGTGGTTACGAATCGGGCTGCGAACCTTAAGGTCAGCAGTTCGAAACTACCAGCCCCTCCGCAGAAGATGAGGCTTTCTGCTCCCGTAAAGATTTACAGCCTCGGAAACCCTGTACATGGTAGCTATGGGTCGGAACCAACTCAACGGCACTTAACAGGATCACTGAGTCAGAATGAACTCGACCTTAATGAGTATCCACCAATAATCAGGATAAAGGTATTTAGGTTGACCCCTCCCTCAATATGAGGATTGCTCTGTTAAGAATAACAAAGCAAAAGAGCAAATTTATCTCGTAATTTAGAGAAGAGAGAGTACCTTGTGAAGGGGAGACACAGTGAGTTTTGGGGACACGGTGGATTTTGGGGGAGCAACGCATCATATATTTAGTTCGGGTGCACAAAATTAGGAATTTATATGTTGTTGCTAAGTGCTGTAGAGTCAGTTCCTACTCATAGTGACCCTATATAGCATTTTCGAGGAGCGGCTAGGGGGTTTGAACCGCCGATCTTGCAGTTCAAACCAGCCTTGTGGTCCAGTTCTTACCCTACAGCGCTATACCAGGGCTCCAGGGCTTTATAGTTTATTATTGTAAGTGTAGTCAATTTGGTTCTGACTCAGCGAGGAGCAGCTAATGTGTTTGAACTGCAGACCTTGTGTTCACAGTCCAATGCTGATCCTACAGCGCCCTACCAAGGGTTTATATGTTGTATGCCGCCCAGTCATTTCTGACCCATAGCGACCCTGTATAGGGTTTCTGAGGAGCAGCTGGTGAGCTTGAACCACTTTGCAGTCTGGCACATTTTTAATAAGCTAATAATACTCGTATAGATTCAGAGGAAAGGTGACGTTTTTCTTGTGATTAGATCAGAAAAGTGTGACATAATTAGGTGCAAGCCCAGCTTCTTTGCAACATGGATTCCCCTGCATAGGGATCTGGGACATTAAGTAATACTTACTATGGGATGGATCCTACAGCATCCTCTATTGGAAGGTCGTATACTGGTCAGAGTTGTTGATTCAGCTCATGTGCTGGTTCGGCTCCAAGGTTGTTCTGACCGCCTGAGTTTTTGAAAGAGAACTTAAAAGCAGTTTCAAAAGGGGGACAATAGACATCATATTCCAGTAGGCTTACTTGGGAAGTACCTACATTTAGGGTCGTTGGTTGTTGGGGACCAAAAGGCTTACAGGCCTCATAAAACTTTAAGAGTGTCAGAACTGCTCCTTATTTGATTATTCAGTTATGTTTTATATTAACTTAGAACATGAGCTCTTGATTATCCATGTACATTAATAAAACCGAATTTTGCCCTAGAACTGAGACAGTAAAACTTCCTCAGAGGACGAACAAGGACAGGTTTACTGGGATTAAGCAGGGAGGTTCTGGAGAGGAACTGCCCGGGGTATTCACTTGGGGTGGAGCCCTGGTGTAGCGCTGTAGGGTAAGAACTGGACCACAAGGCTGGTTTGAACTGCAAGATCAGCGGTTCAAACCCGCTAGCCGCTCCTCGAAAATGCTATATAGGGTCACTATGAGTAGGAACTGACTCTACAATATTCCCAGTATTCACTTGGGGTGGTAAATTCTGGGAATATTGGATTAAAGGACAATGGTGGCAACTCCCTCAGACCACCCTGGGTTTAATCAGTTTAGATTCTGGGAAAAGGACAATGGTGGCAACTCCCTCAGACCACCCTGGGTTTAATCAGTTTAGATTCTGGGAAAAGGACAATGGTGGCAACTCCCTCAGATCGCCCCGGGTTTAATCAGTTTGACCTATATGTTCTCTCTCCTTCCTCCTGAAAGCTTAAGCCAGGTATCTGACACAGCTTGACTTTCTTCAGACCTTTTGAAATCCTTTTCACCTTTACCCATTGAAGACTAGGTGCTATAGGTATGTTAATTAGCCTTGAGAAACCTCGAGCTGCTGCCCTGGGATTCGAACCTGAAAAGTACTATATAAATTTGCTTGAATTTCTGGAAAATTAAGGATGTTAGATTATCAAGACAATTTGTGATATATGTTTTAGAATTTGTTCCTGTAAATCATTGTGTCCTGTTTTGAACGATTAATCACATTTCATTTCTGTACCCTGTCTTAATAATCCCCTTCTTCCTTTGTGTAAAGTCCCTCCCTGATATAAAAGAGGGACACAGACTGAAGCCCACATGCATTACTGCTTGCAGGGCCTTG